CGCCTTCTTGTGCATGACTAGACGCCGAGTCTGGTAACATCAAGGCGAGCCTTGAGACCCTGCGACATGTCCATGGATACACACGTTACGTTATTGCATTCGTGGGGGTATTCGTAATGGTGCAGTGGTTTGTGCAGTGCGCCATGAACCCAGTGATCTGAATTTCATTCCCTGCCACGGCAAACTTCAGAGGAGAACGATAACTGAACCGGCCCTGGGCTGTCCCACCACCGCCCTGACCAGCGTCGCCTTCTTGTGCATGACTGGAACAACTTGTAATGCCATGTCTAGGTTTGGTGATCCACTCAGTTGCTTCTTGAGATGCTCAGTGTGGAACTAAAAACGATTTATTATTTCATCAGGTAAGGCCCACTGAGCTATGAAGCTCTTGTTCAGAAGTGACCTGGTTATTACAAATGATAGCTCATTCAAGTGGCTTATCATGTGGAAATGTACAGCAGCCAAATACTCTAAACGCACGTTGATTCTGACCGGAAGAAAAATCCACGTGACTACATGGAGAGAGAGAGAGACACGCAAACTGCAAATACACAACAGGCGTCAGGGTCGGGATCGAACCCATGTCCTCCTGCACACCATGCGAGGTAGTTAACATCTCCTAGCCACCGTGATGATGATGATGATGAGAGAGACAAGCAAACTCCAAATATACAGCAGCAGGCGTCATGGTCGGGATCGAACCCACGTCCTCCTGTGTAACAGGCGAGGTAGTTAACATCTCCTCGCCACTGTGGCGCCCCACGAGCGTAAGTAGGGCCTACCGCAATAGATATTAGTGGTTATGTTGATGCGATATGTTCCAGCCTAGTGAAGTATGGTCAAAGGACCCCCCTCCCCCATGTGTGACATGCCATTGGGAGGTATTCACCCAGGAGTGGACCGACAAGCAGGGCTGGAAACAAGCAGAGGCAGTTAGTACGTAGAAAGCCGTCGATCAAACCTCGTCAGATCTCCGAAGCTAAGCAGGGATTTAAGCCTCGACGTTGCTGGGATGGGCGACGACCATGCATTAAACAGGCGTTGAGTAGGCTGCAACGGGGCTGCGTGGTTGGCAGCAGAGGGCGGTGGACCAATAAAAAATGTTGTCCATAAAATATATACAATATGTTGCCCATAAAATGTTGTACTGTACTATAAGCCCATGGAAATGACCTTCGCCTTCACCAACCCGCTCCGGGCAGCGTGGTGAAGTTCGATCAGTGAGCCACGTGACCCCACTCCACAATGCGCAGGGCATGGCAATGCCCTCGTCCAGCAGTGGATCCACAAAAGAGCAGCGTCCTTACAGAATGGCCGCCGCAACAATATTTTTTGAGATTTTCAAAAGCGGACCAAGAAAGGCGGAAGGCGGGGAGGTGAAAAATGCCGCCGAGGTCTTTTTAAGATCTATTCAAGATCTTTACCAGCCGACGCCGAACCAGATGGCTATACAAGCTCCCATCGTTTGAGGAAACCGGGTTGTTAAAACAACGACGCCAGCAAGCAAGCAAGCTCAGCCCAGTAACGCTTGGCCCACATGTTTACGTTCAAAAAGGCAACCGTCCGAGATGTAAGCCGCCACTGTCCCCCCCTGTGCTGTGCGCAAGTGACACGATCTGAACGCGCTGCTGCTGTTGACCCGTTGCTGTAAACGTTTCCTCGAAGCCCTGAGAATGATGAAACCAAAACCACGGCAAGCTGGGTGAACGCAGGGGGCATTGCAGCCAGGGGGCATTTGAGTTTGAACTAAAACTAAACTACGAAGCTATTTGTTATTTTACCAGCTAAGGCCCCACTGAGCTATCTAGTTATTTTTTTCCAGAAGCGACCTGGCCATTGCAAATGATAGCTCAACGAAGCGGCTTTATGATCGTGTGGAAATTTACATCGTCCAAATACCCCGAAGCGCCTCTTGCTGATTCTCAACGCGGAGGGAAAAAACCTAAGGACCCGGAGAAAAATAATCAGGGTCGAACCCGCGACCTCCTGCATACCAGGCGAGGTAGTTGACATCTCGCCCCCCCCCCCCCCCCCCCCCGTGAAATATATATCCTGCTTAATTCCGGAATGTTTCAGATTTTTGGCATTAAAATAAAAAATACAAAACTTACCCCTAGATATATCTTATCGTATATATACACAGTATATTCCAAGTCGCTTTACAGCGATTATAACATTGTACATACGATTGTAGTGTTTGAGATAATAAAGAGTGGGGTTGCTGTCGTTATTAAAAGTTGTGGTGGTGTAGTTATGGTGACAGGCGAACAGGCTGGAGTGGTTTAGGAGGGGTTTTGGTAGTGGTAGGGGTTGGGGTGGTGATAGGGGTTGGGGTGGTGATAGGGGTTGGGGTGGTGATAGGGGTTGGGGTGGTGATAGGGGTTGGGGTGGTGATAGGAGCTGGGGTAGTGGTGGGGGTTGGGTTAGTGATAGGGGTTGGGGTAGTGATAGGGGTTGGGGTAGTGATAGGGGTTGGGGTAGTGATAGGGGCTGGGGTAGTGATAGGGGTTGAGGTAGTGATAGGGGTTGGGGTAGTGATAGGGGTTGAGGTAGTGGTAAGGGTTGGGGTAGTGATAGGCGTTTGGATAGTGGTAGGAGTTGGGGTAGTGATAGGGGGTTTGGGTAGTGGTAGGGGTTGAGGTAGTGGTTTGGGTGGTGATAGGGGTGGTGATAGGGGTTTGGGTAGTGGTAGGGTTGGGGTAGTGGTAGGGGTGGTGATAGGGGTTGGGCTGGTGATAGGAGCTGGGGTAGTGGTGGGGGGTTGGGTTAGTGATAGGGGTTGTGGTAGTGATATGGGTTGGGGTAGTGATAGGGGTTGAGGTAGAACTACATTTTTGAATGAATGTTGTTTAATTATTTCAGATTGATCCGAAGTCAGACAGGCAGGCGAAATTACATCATTATATTGTCAGTTGCACCCATTTCCTGTCAAAAGTCGCGTCACGTGGCATCATCGCGCCCGATGATGCCACTTTTGTGAGCACGAAGACGCGCCAAATTATGTCCCTTAAAGATCCCGATAAAAATATCCTAAATCGTCATAAAAACACACAAATTATGAAACTCGTCCCCCATAACGGTTACAACGCAATAACTCGTTTGCACCGTGATGCATGCTACGGGCAATGTAATAATTATAATTAAAGCTGGAGGAATTGGGTGGTGGTGGTGTTGGTGTGGGTGGTGGTGTTGGTGTTGTTGGTGGTGTTCGTGTTGGTGGTGTTGGTGGTGGTGGTGTTAGTGGTGTTGGTGGTGGTGTTGGTGGTGTTGTGGGTGGTGTGGGTGGTGTGGGTGGTGGTGGAACAGTGAAGGGAAATAAATGAATGCGTAGAGAGAGGGCCCCCCTAAAACCATGACAGTCCCAGGCCCACATGGAACCTATCCCTGGTGCTCTACACCAGTGGTTCTTCTTAACCTGGGGTGCACGCTGGGTGTGAGATGCCCTTTCTGGGTTGGTGCAAGACATGGCCAGATTTTTTCTTAGGTTAATCATCGGAAACACAAATTAAGCACGGGTACGTGCGTAACAACTTACTTTGTTTCATCCAACCCTATGTTATTTATTAACATTGTACAATTTGTTTTGTAACGACTGAGAACCAAAGGGCTGCACGGCTGCAGTAAATGCTGAGAACCACTGCCCTGTGTGCTGCGTCTCGCTGGACAGGTATCCCCCTCGATTTCACGAAAGGGATGCGTTGTGTCAAAAAAGAGACGCGTGAAACGACATTTAGCAAAATCCCATTAATTTTAACAACAACAAAAAAATTCGAATCCGATATCTCTTTTCACGACACAAAAAATTCTAATGAGCACAAATATTAAACGACTGCATAATAATTTGAACTGAAAGCAAAATAAAAATTCGCCTTCTCAGGGAATTTCACCAAAAATATCTGAAAGGTTGGAATGAGCGGTAAGGCGATGTGGAGGCGTTGCTGTTGCACTGCAGGGGGTCCCATGACGTCCGTCCACGCTCCCGCGTGGCGTCTTCTCGTCCGACGATCTCGCGGCGTGTGGCCGTGGTCGGAATTTCGTGCACGCGGGAAATTCGATTTCGTTCATCGAAAAGCGCCCCCGTGGATCTGTCGATTTCTATTTTTTTTTTGCGGGTTACATCGCCTTTGGCCACACGTCGGCTTTTTTTTATATTGACACGAAAATGCCGCTCCCCCCCCCCCCCCTTTGAGCCACTGGTGCCCAATACCTTCGCCCTTCGCAGGCGGCAGCGACGATTTAATTCGAAAGCAAAATTAGTTTTTTTTGTTTTTTTGAACGTGCGGACACGAAAAGGGCTTTCCTACGTTTGCACGGCTCGGCTTCGAATGTAACAAAAAAAAATATCCAACCGAAGCGTGCAGGCATCGCAATAGAGCGCCGAACCGAGTTTTGAGTCTGCTATATTTCGTGAACAAACGCGTATGTACACAAAAATAATAATAATAATACATTACAGACTGTCGTAAATCCTTTGATGAATCCTTTTCCTCCCACTGATGTTTAAAGCAGGTATGCATTAGGTCCATCTGTCTGTCTATGATAGGGGAGGGGATGCAAGTGCACCTGGCCTGGCACAGGTGCCGCGGTGATGTCACCGTCACTTAGTGGCGAATGGTGGGTATTCTGCATGGGGGGGGGGGGGGGAGGGCATAACTGTCGTAGAGATGAACCAATATCAGAAAAACCGTGGTATAAAAACGTCATTCGGGTTGGCTAACCCTATAGAAAACCGGCCGCATTGATTAAATGACCGCCCGCATCCATCGCCCCCCCAGCCGCCTATCGGAGCCCCCTTGGCTTCATCGCAGCCCTCGGCTGACACTGCTCCCAGTGCACCCGCTTGCGAGCGCCGCCGCCGCCGCCGCCGCCGTCTCCGCGACGAACCGCACATTTCCTCGGGCAAGCGCTTGCCCGTCGGGGTATTGCTGCGTCCTCGCCCGTCCGCCGCTGACTTCTATTCCTCACCCCCTCCCCCCCCCGCCCGTCGTCTCCGCAAGCAGCCGTGGCCGAGCGTGTCGAACCTGGCCAAGGACTTCATCGACCAGCTGCTGAGCGTCGAGCCGACGAAGCGGCTGAGCGCGGCGCAGGCGCTGCGCCACCCGTGGGTGGTGACGATGGCGGCCGACTCGTCGGCCAAGGACCTGCACCGCTCCATCTCGCAGAACCTCATCAAGCGCGCGTCCTCGCGCCAGAGCAACAAGTCGGTTCACTCCACGCGCTCCGCCAAGTCGGCCCGCGCCCGCCGGGCGCGCGAGCGCGAGATCCGCCAGCTCAACCTGCGCTACCTCGAGCAGTGAGCGGCGCACGCGGAGGTGGTTCAAGGAGGCACGAGCAGCAGAAGCTCAAAGCTGAAGCGGCAAGCAGCAGCAGCAGTAGCGGCAGCAGCAGCAGCAGCACCAGCAGCACCAGCAGCAGCGGCAGCAGCAGCAGCGGCAGCAGCAGCAGCAGCACCAGCAGCAGCAGCAGCAGCGGCACCAGCAGCAGCAGCGGCAGCAGCGGCAGCGGCAGCACCGGCGGCAGCAGCAGCAGCAGCAGCGGACAGAGAAGTGGGAGTAGCAACAGCATCAGCGGCGGAAGCTGGGGTAGCAGCAGCAACAGCAGCAGCTGGAGTAGCATCTGTAGAAGCCACAGTAGCAGCAGCACCGGCATCATCATGAGATGGGCAGTAGCGCCAGCAGCAGCAGCAGCTGGAGGGCAGCGGTAGGAGTAGCAGCAGCAGCAGCAGCTTCACCGGAGCGCAGAGTTTGAATTCCAAGTCACCCATAACCCACAAAGTGGCTATTGCACTCTTGCCCCGGTGCCCTCTGGAAGCGCAAGAAGTAGCTGCTGTCAAACCGCTGAGTGGCGAGCTTGTGGTGAAGGTGGCAGCACGTCGGGAGGTGGGAGGTTGCCGCTGCTATGAGGGCGACAGCTTTAGGAGCGAGGCTGAGAGGACATTCGCACAGCCAACAGGCCAGTGGAGGCCCAATGGAGAACTTGAAACGTTTCAACTCATCATTGTGTATTTACGGTTGTTTTGATAAATGGCGATACCATTAAAATGATATATATATCCTTGCACCTGCATTCATACCTGCTGAGGCACTTTTCCATTTGTCCTGAAATGAACAACAATGACTGAGCACAGAGGCTCGCGACCGAGGTAAATCTGGCCGGGTGGATGACACAGGGGGAAGTGGAGGGGGCCGGGGGGTTGGTGGCTTTGCCGGTGGTGCCGGCAGCATTGGTTGATGGAGATTGACGGTTACTGTAGCAAAAAAAAACATGCTGGTGTCGTTTTTATCGTGACGATCGCGCCACAGAACCGGCTGCAGAGTCACCAAGACAAACAGTCTCTTGTAACGTAGACCTTGGTTAAATTACCGACGATGATAAGAGCCGTCCAATGAAACTGGTTCATGCACGTAAAAATTGGCAACGCGAGAGATCTTATAGATTCATAGCCACTTTAGATTCTACGTGCGCCACAATCACAAAGCGAGAGCTCAGTGAATCAGGCTTTTTTCTTCTTACCTTCTGAAACTGTTACTGTGCATGTAGTGGTATGAATCTATAGAATCTGCAATAGTACAAAAGCCATACACATAAATCATTCCCAACCCACACGAGCCTTCGAATCGATTTTAATTGCCGGTTCATTCTGTCACCTGTAGTGGAGCAGACTCCTGCCGCCATGGATCCTTGACGCACGCACGATGGGAAAAATAAAACCCAAGATACTCAATTTTAGAATTGAATTCTGCTGAAAATATGGTATTGTGGGCATCAGATACAATAGTCCCGATCCACTTGATGCACATAGGCCAAGGGGTGGAGAAGGCCCGTGGACCAAACGTTACCTGCTAACGTCATTTCATACGGCCCACGGTCACACGAAGCCGACCAATTTGGAAAACCGCCTTGCAAATTTATAAAATGTTTTATATTCATCCACAACTGCGACCAACATCTTTGCGGCCGCTTGCCTCCTTCGAAAAATGCGACCCCGGCATTGACATCGAGAGCCTGAGCCGTGCGCCGCTCATGTGTGTGGTCGGCGAAGCGTCCTTTTTTGAAAGCCGAATTCGTCAGCCCCCTCAGTAAGGGAAGGGGTTCTCCACCCCCTGGTCTTGGCGGACCAAAAAAAATAAATAAAACCCGGCAGGATCGCCACGCGCACAGCCCAAGGAGTGCCAAACTATCGCGGGTGTCGCACACCCACGGCGGTTCTCGGTTCTTTTTAAGTCCCCCGAGTAATTGACGTAAGAGTATTTATGAAATGAATTAGATTTTGTTTTTTTTCCTCTCTGCAAATATCTCTGTGCCAAGAGGCTGCGTGATATTTTCGGAGTCCGAGGGAGGCGGGAGGGGCAAGAAGCTACTAAACCTTGGGAACCGTTACCAACTTTGTTTTTTTTATTGTAGCGCTCTCCGCTATCTCAAAGGAGCCCAAAACACAAAGAGCTTTTTTTTCCAGGAGACATGTACCTGCGCTCTGTACAGTCCGGTATGACGTGAAGAGCCATTAAGAGAGAGTACGACTTTGTCATTTAAAGGCCGATGCAGCACCATGGCTACACTCCAGTGACATCACTGCTGCACATTTCAATGCGGCAATGCGGTGACATCATTAGAGAGCTCATGGTGGCACCCTTGACCTGCAGCTGTAAAAGTCTTCGTAAGATCATCACCGAAGCTTCACGCTCACGTCGAACAGCCCGCGACGCAGCCTGGATACGTAACTGCAAGACAAGAAATGAGAGCATGTCGCACATCCACCCTGACCAATCGACATACCGCACAGAGTGCGGTATTTGCGCGTGATGTAACTGTAATTGTCTACAGGGACTCGCCTACTTACGAACGAGTTAGGTTCCAGAGGTCTGTTCGTAAGTCGGATATGTTCGCAAGCCCAACTTTAGTCCTGCCGATTCCAAACATGTTGTACGGCGTGTACACGAAAAACAGGGAATGTCTTTAAAAGTTACATGATCTCCTGTAGATGCCACTGGTTCTTCACGTTCTGCAGATGTAGATGCCACCACCGCTCATCTATTGCATGGGGCGGTTGAACTTACGCCTCTCGGTCTGAACGGGCAACTGGATATACGGACAGTTTTGTGCGCGTCTCTGAAAGTTTGTAAGTCGAATGTTCGTAAGTAGACGAGTCCCAGTATAGGTGTTCACATATCTGACATTTCCAGGTATCGTGCCTACACCTGGATCCCCAGCGAGTTGGATATGCGACGTACCCTATTTGTTTTTGGTTGTTTAAATTTCCGTTCACATTTGGAGCACACAAATACAGAGATCCCCTCTATAGTCTTAACAGACTTTTCGGGCACGTGCTGTGAGCGATGTTGCACCTATGAAGGCCGGCACGGCGCACAAGGTGGTGGGTGGCCAGCACCACACCGGGCCGCTTTTGTCTCCCTCGTGGCAATGTTTACACACCGCACCAGGTACTCATTTCAGGCTGAGTCGACCAAAGGGGAGGCCCATGACCGGTTCACATAATCGTCACTGGTGTTGGCCGTGAGCGGCAAATTAAACTTGGGTCGCCGGGTTCACAGCGCAGCGTAGCGCTAACCGCACACACTTAACAGGAGTGTGCTTATAGTCCCCGTGGACGAGATGCGGTACCCATGAGCGAGAGTGGATTATTTAACAACGCCACTCATTTCAAATGGGGATCACATCATTCACCGTCACTGGCCACGGAGTGGGAATTGGAACCACTATGTGATGCCACCTCAGTTGGGCAGGGACAAGTGAACCATCAGCTGTGGGTCACGTGGACCAAATCGCACCTGCGTGGATTTCTGTTCATCTTGAGCTGCTTTCAGGAGCGTGCAAAGAAACGTCTCAAGATGTCGAAGTCATTTGCCCCCCCCCCCGCGCCCCCCACAATTGTAAAGAAAGCTGCCAAACAATGTCATCATCGTCAGTAACCATACCAACAAGAAATGAGGGTCAGGTGAAGTCAATGTGCAATTATTATGATTGCATGTCAATAGTACATGAGGTTCCATCAAAAGAGTGGACACTGTTTGGTATCTGTTACCTTGGTAAGCAAAGTGTCCACGGTGCTGTGTACACTCTCGAAGGTGTATACACTGCTGTGTATGTAAGTTTCGAAAGTTTACAGAAGTGTGCGTGGGGAAAGAAACCATTAACCAGCATTGTCATATTGGCGGACCATAAAAGTGTTACATTAGTCATCGACACCGCGCACTAATGAGCATTGGTTGGTGCTTACTTCTATTGGCAGTCCCCGGTCGAAATTCCACATTCACACGACGGGGCACGGCGCGCCTGCAGGAGATCTACTTCTGAATTCTCATAACGTGGCATTGATTTGATCGTTCTCGGCGAAGTGATGAGGCAGATTTGAGCCCCAAGCAGGATTTGAACTTTCAACATTCCCACTGTGTTACAGCGCCACCCAGCCGGGCTGAAGAATTGTCGGCATTAGCATCGTGACACAGAGATGTCGTGACAAAAAAAAAACCCACTGCAAGTGAGCCCAGCCCCTTATCGACACCGGTGGGTGCGGCAACACTTTTACGGCCAGTCGATAGCCCTTGAGCAGTTAGGCGACACTTGTGCTCGTATATACACCTCAATCTATCTACGGCTATTTTGTGAATCCAATGCTGGACGAGGGCAGTGCCGGATTAAGCTAGTGTGGGGCCTGGAGTATGTTATAAAGGGGCCCTAAATATAAAAAAACACATAAATATTAATACACACATTTTTAACTTGCACAGTAAAGAAATTGTATTTTTTCATTTGCTATACAGTCAGATAATACGACAAATGGCTAACCTTAAACACCCAGTCGCTCGTAAAAGATGAAGGCAGTATAGTACTATAGTAATAGAGCAAGTGCAGAATCACTGAACCGGGATTCATAGCTTGAAAGCATTTAGCACGGGGCCTTGGAAAGTGCGGGGCCCGTCGCATTTGCTACTTTTGCTACTCGGATAATCCGGCACTGGATGAGGACCTCGACGTGACCACGTGGTTAATGAAGGCTATTTGACTTGAATTCATTTTGCTGGTTAGCGCAGGTTGGTGAACGCGGTGGGAGGGCATAGACACGTTGGATAATAAAATATTACAATGGATTTTTGGAGCGACGGCCCTCTGCTGTCCACCACATGGTCCCGCTAAGCCCGACGGGAACTGGTTTGGTCAAAGGAACGCGATGCTTACCCAGGCAGTGCGTGGGCTAGCGACGAGGGTCAGAGGGGCCATGGCACAAAAGGGAAAAGTTGAAAGGGAATTTGTTCTGTCCCTACCCCCTCACCCCCCCATCGCACTTCGGAAATGTTGCAACAACAAAACGCCCTGCACAAAGAAAAAAAAAGAACCCCCATCGCCAAACTGCACTTGTTAATTTACGCCATCATTTCGGGGACTGGCTCAAACGACAACAAGAAGTGAGACAAAAACACAAACTCTCGGCCAAATGGCAAAGCTGCGAGGAGTCCGGTTTTACAATCCCCCCCCCCCCCCCCCCCCATTGTTGCGCCGACTCGAAGCTCGCACGCGACATTCGACATTCGTTACGTGACCCCGGCTGCATCCTAAACCACGCCGACAAACCACCCAGCCCCAACCCTAACACTGACCCCCCCCCCACCCCACCAAACCCACCCATCCCACACCTGCCCCTACCGCCGGGCCCCCAGCTAAGCGAGTGACGTCGGAGGACATTCCGTCAACCTCGTTGTTGTTCGCGTGACAGCACGACGGCATTGTCACGAGAATACGAGCGTCTTCTTAAAGGTGGAATTTAGGCGGAGCTGGAGCACGAACGGCAAATATTTGGGTCGTCTTGGGATAAAGATTCTCACGCAACTGTCACCGTGTCTCAAGCAGCCCCCACCACCCCCCTATCTCCGTACATCACCACGGCACACAGATGAAGATCGCTCGTAAGAGGTGTATTAAATATGACCGCGTTGCGCGCCCAAACGGGCTCTGCTACACAGGCGTCTGTCCATTCCGTCCGCCCATAGCGCCCGTCGCTGTTGTTCTAAGAGCTGAGACGAAAGTGACCTTTTGTTGTTGTTAGATCTTTTGTAAATGAATATTACATGCATAAAAATTCAGCTCTCTACAACAAAAAAAAGGTCTTCGGTCGTTCTTAACGGGGAGTTGTTTTTTTTTTTAGCAAAGAGAAAATATATAACAGTGGAATAATCGTCTGAAATTATATATACAATACTGTAATATTTACGCGTTTTGGATTGTGTACTTTAGGAGTCATATATGCGTGTTCTGTACAGCAGTATTTGTGCATTTTCACGACAGCATGTAGGCTATTATGATTGAACACAATATTTTCATAAAATACTTTGTAAATTCCTTGTGTGTGAAAGTCATCCCTTCAACTGCAGGGGGAATTTAGGTGCCATTACAGAACACAATGACACAATCAGACCCATCGCGCGGGTTTTTCCCGCTTGCACCGTGCATCTCCCCCACGACGGTGTTCCTCCGGTTGTGCCGCACGATGTCCGACGTTTCACACCCAGAGAGCTTCTTCAGTTCCCCCGAAGCCGAACATCGCGCCGCCGAGCAACACGTGGGAGAGCCGCACAACGAAGAGGCGTTTGGTCGTGGCGGGGAGTGGATGAACACCGATTTTCGATCGTGAACGACGCTGGGATGCGCGGCGCGCGCCGCTACAAGCGTCCGCCCAAAGGCCACCGGGTTGCCGCATTTCTGCAAGCAACGTCAACGGCAATCGCGTGCCAATTTTATTCGCGGGGGCCGAGATGCAATTGCGGCAGCGGCTGTGATGCGCCAGCACCTGCCAAGCCAGCATAATTGCGCTGTCCCGAGTGCACCAAAGGCCGTTGTGTGTGTCACCGCGCCGTTATTTCGGAGATTTTTACACGAGCATAAGCCGCTTCATAAAGTTGACGCCAAAACGGCAAACGCACGTTCGGTAGCTCGCATTAAAAGAAAGAGCTCTGCACGTCAATTCCCATCGCTGTGGGAATGAGTAATTTTGGGATGAGACGCCGGTGGCGGATCGTTAGGTTTCCGAAATCGATCCCCCTTTCTCGTAACGTCGTGACGGTGAGACGGATCTCGCCGCGGGCAGGCAAAGGTTTGGTTTGCCTTGCACTCAAACAAATGTACACGTGCCTTGGCATGACGCAAGGGAGTCACAGGCTCCGTCAGTCCTCCGCGGAATTAGTTATTTGCCCCGTGCGATCAAATATGAAAGAGCAATTGTCGTTATGCGACATTGCAAGATGGCGAGAGATGGTGACAGCTTGTGCAAGCCTTCCTCCAGCAGTGGATCGATCATAACACATTCGGCAATATTTTCATTACGAGATATACAACAGCAATAGAATGGCAGTTTGTTTTGTTGTTGCATATTTAATGCGCCTTAACGAGTACAAAAAAAAAAACACGTCTTACGTGAACACAAACGTTTTTGATAAAAATGTCACGATAAAGATACGTTTACTCTTACACGTGTATATATATATTTTTTAAACTTCACGTGATGGACCTAGGCGTGTAACGATTTGCCCTGCTCGCGATGCCATGAATTATTACGATTCGGAGTCTGGGGTTCCATTCGACAGCAAAAGTATATTTGTAATGCCCCCCATTCGGCAACAAACCTTTCAGAGAACAGACAATACTACGGAGGAATTTATCGCCTCGAGTGGCTGCAGGGGTCACAGGGACCCATAACATAAGGTGCAAGAATCGAAAGGGGGCACTCTTGCAAATGAGAGAGTATCCTGGTCTCTCCAGCTCTCACCTGGTTAGGGGCTGTCCGTAAATGACGTCACGCGATTTTGGACGATTTTTTGACCGCCCCCCCCCCACCCCTCGTCACACGCCGTTACAAAAAGTCAGACCCCTGCTCAAATATGACGTCACAAAGCTCTGCCCCCCCCCCCCCCGTCCGCCAAAAAAAACTAAAACATGCTTCAAATCGCTTTAAACTATTGTCATTGTAGTGCGTATTTAATGTGGCACTGCACTCTGATGTTGTAGGAGAAAACATTTATTAAAAAGTCTATTTAATTAGAAGAACGTGTTGTCTGTATTTATTTAAAGTTGCGGATTTTGATGTGACGTCACATTTCTCAAACCGCCCCCCCCCCCCCAGTCACACATCGTCACAAATGTCTGACCCCCCCTAGGTGCGTGACGTCATTTATGGACGGCCCCTTAAACAAAATAAGATTTTTACACGCGCAATACGATGCGTGTATCGTCAGCGTAAGAAACGATTTTAAGGCACGAATCGCCGTATCCTAAAAATGCCTAATAGTAATACTGTATAATACTTAACTACACGTATTTGGGCTATTGACATACTCCATCAGCTGTCTCCCAGCCACTCATAACCACCACCGGCGTAGTCATTTAAAATTGAAATGTACATCAAAGTTTCGAAGACAGTTTTCTCAACGAGGTGTTAAAGAGGCCAAAGGTGAGTGGATGGGACTCGTTTGGTGAAGTTTAGGTGGATTCGCGCACTCAATCCCTGCGCAGTCCGAGCTTTGGTTCAGTTGCCTGGACAAAACGCTGTGCGGCAGCAGAGCTAACGATTGTAGGCACGCAACGCCTGAATAAATCCTTTTGAAGAAACTCGGCGGGCCTAACCTGCTAAAAGAAAATCAAATATATATATTTTTTTGTAAAAATGGGAGTCATACGAGGTGCGGAAAGGTAGAGCGGCATGACACCATCATACACTGGGTGCACGCAAAGTCAAATTGTCGCTGCTGAAGCCAGCGAGGGCAGGAGGTGCTTATCTCCTGTGATTTTCCTGAACCAGTGTAGAAATATTCCACATTCCTCCGGTAAGGGCCAATTCATTAAACAGGAAAACCACTGTTGGTCTCCAATGCGGTACCAATTATATCAAACTCTAGTGTTATAACCACTGCGCCACCCGGCCTGACGATCCACACACAAAACACAAATATAAGGATGGCGGTGACGTCACTGTGGCTATAGGTAAACAACGACATTCTTTATCATCATCACTTAATATTTCTACCGCACCTCCCATGCAGTACATTCCAAGGCACCCATCAGCAGTGGACCCCTGGTGGGCAGCTATCCCTGAGCAGCACAAGGTGAAGGCAGCACCAGCCTGGGAGTGGGCATTAGTCTGCGAGCAGAGGGCGATGTTGCCCCATGTCTTCCCCAAATTGCCGTCAAGTTGCCGAAAGCCTTGACCCCTCCCCGGCGCTTGAACTCAAGATCCCGCCGGCGGAACAGTGCACCCGTGCGAGTTCCATCGCCAGACTCTGAGAGGGCCCCCCCGTATGGCAGGCGGCGCCGTTACTGCGGCTAGTGTCGAGATCGTAGTATCTCAGGCAGCGGTTATCGCCGGCGCCGGCCAAGTCGGCGTCCCGACGGCCGACTGTGCCGGAGGGGTCGGCTCCAACGCGATGACCCGGCGAGCCCACCGACGTCGTCAGGGTCTCGCGGAGCGTGCGCCGCATGCGCTCGTTCTCGCGGCTCGTCGACTCCCACACAATCTCCAGCTGCGCCTCCACCTGCCTGCGGGGCGGGACGGCACAGTGACGGCACGGGTAAAGCTACCGCATTGAACCGAGAGGCTCAACTGGGACACGCGGTGAGCTGGCAGTCCCTTCCCCTCGGTCAGAGGGCAATGTTCGTCGCCTCAACAGCCAAATCAATATTGAAATTCTGAGATTCGATTTGGCAAAAAAAATTCAGCGCAGGATTACATTTAACGTGATATCTTGTTGCCCAGCGCACCAACGCACCACAATTGAGTACCCAGTTTTAATCACAGGCGGCTGAAACCTGGATGCAATTCTAGGATTCTGGTCGGTGTCAGCTCGGCGCTCTGGCCTTTGCAGAGCCACGTGGCCACCTGGGGGCCACTCGCGGTTTCTGGCGTTAGCAGGCGGACCCAGCCGCTCGTAACGCCGCGATACCGCCGTGCCGGTCGGCGGTGCACGCCTCCTCTTCTCCCACCCGGGGGCACCCTCAGCACTGATAATAATGGCACGGGCTCGGCGTGGCCTCGGCGCCTTGCAAGCCAATCATGTGGAACAGCGGTGAGGAACCAATCGTGGGGCTCGGCCACAGCGACGTTAATGTCAGCGAGTCACGCGTCGGCGTTTGCCAAGGCAGAAGAATCGGGGTAGACTTCAACGAACGGCCGGCGCGTGTGCGCGTGCACCTTAAGAGGGCGTGAATAAAATAGGTGCGAAGCCACTTTATAGGGATCAAGTAGCAGCCAAATAATGACTGTGAAAGAGGAAAACTAGTGGCGTATTTGATTTTTTGTTCTTTGCAAAAAAAATGTATGATGACATAAAATAAATGAAAATGAAGTTACCATTTTTTTTTCTCGTTTGAGAATCAAACTGTTAAACAGGAGCTCACACATAGAAAAGGACACACGGCAAGTTCATGGTTACTGAACACACCTTGGCCGGTAAGATTTATCATTTACATCTTCCTATAAATAAGACTGTTTTAGCTGTTATTGTGTGTGTTCACAATGGTGGCCACTTTGTGTAAACAAAGCCGTTCCTAAATTAGACCGATGGAATGATTGACAAACGTGATGTTTTTTTTCAGTGGAAATGTATAAACTTGACGGGTGAGCATATGTTTGGTGACAACGTACAATTTAAATGGTAGCCGTGATTTTATTGAATGACGTGAAAAGAAATCTACAATCACTTCATAGCCAACTTGAAATACCGCTTGAATTCTGGACAATACGATTGCCAAATTTTTCCCTTGCACCTGCCTGAGACAATAATCGGGTCACTTTATTATGCAAAAAATGGCAGCGTTCATTTAATATTCAGGGTTTAGCCTGATATCAGCACATTTCCCCGTGTCGTATTTTAAACAGCTTCTTGTGCCTATCACTTGAAGGGCCCATGTGAAAACATGCAGCTGGCGAGTATTAGGAACATGACATCATCTATAATAATGTTTCTTTTAATTTTGTGCCTGGCAAAAATTTTGACTCCTAAAAAAAGCTTCTGCAAGGTTACACAGATTGAAATATTCCCACCGAGAAAGTTTGTGTGATTAATTGGGGTGGAAATTGGCTCTTACCCCGTTCTCAAACAATCCCGCTGCAGAACATTTCAGTTATCCTCATTGCACTTTAATATTCGCCGTCAAATCAGGGACGGTTTCCCCATGTATCAAGGGTGCGTCTGTTCGCACTCAGTCAGGGTCAGACCTGTTTAAACTTGTTGTTTTCTTCAGGATATTCTCGCAGTTTGTGCTTTTTAAAAAAAGGCAACGTGTTGTACATTGGGACAACATTGACGCACGTTTTTGGAAAACAGGGAGAGTGAAATTTGCATACACTTCGGTTTATTTTAACACCGACAATCAGTGGGCCCATTTCTGTTTCGGACCTCACTAAATATATATATTCGACGGTGCATAGACGAATCGTTTATGAGGCTGGCGCACACGGGGCCAGGAAACGCATAATTCCCTGCACCGAGCGTCACCACTCCGCACCCTTGCCACCGTTCCTGAGCTCCGCGAGGCCAATAGATGGACGTCGGTGTCTACTGGTCTGTGCTGGATCTACCCACGAGGACATCCTTTGCCTGATGCACCCCTCGGTGGAACCATCGGTAAACTCGGATCGTTAATGATGGGCCCGGGCGTTAACGATGTCACGCCTGCAATCCGCACACTCGGATTTTGAAGCTTGGTGGTGCAACGTATGTAGAGGTGGGTGAGTGCCTCCTGCAGCGATAGGGAAAATGAGGTGGTGCACATAAAGTAAAAAATATATAGCATTGAGGTTACTGACCAATTGTTATGCAGTGTTTCAGTGTTATCAATTCACACGAGTGGGTGTTTTTCTACCGGCATTCTGGTCTCTACGCCATATGTAAAAACACACGGAAAATTTTCATTGATTAAATATCTAAATACAAGGGCTATGCTGATAGTACGAGTCTTGAGTCTAGGTGAGGCTTTCCTGTGTAAACTAATAATGCTGGGTTTTTTTTCAGAATGCACAGGACACTATGTTCAACATCATTTTTTTATGCAAATGCCTCGGGCTAAGCTATACCGCAGTGACATGCACAGAGGGAAAAAGGGAGCCACTTTCTAACATTCCCCTACTGTCCGAGAATAATAACAATCCTTAACAAATTATAATGTGTGCCAGGGAAGGGCAGGCTATCTTTCAATCGCACGACTGCCAAGGTTAAATGCAAACAAACTCCCACTGCCAACCCACCCTGCTCCCCACATTTTCATGAAACTAGCCGAAAATAGGTCAGCGACGTGCAGTGGCTAAAAACAAAATTAAATGCCACGGGTGGGAAAGGTTAATTAAGGCATGCCACATTGTGCTGTCACTGTGCTGGCAGATGATTGTCAGGGCCTCTCTCTCTGCCCGGCAGGGTGGCCTCAGCTGTGGCTCCTTGTCTTGGCGTTCGGGAGGAAAGGAAAGCTTGGAGAGCATTTGAGCAGCCTGCGGTTATGAGCAGACTCTGCATGCCCGTGCCCGGGCCAGTTTAAAGCGAGAGTCAACGGTTTGATTTTACGTGGCAGACCGGTAATGTCCATGTGTGCGCTCCTACGAAAGCTGCCGATGTTACAGACACCGTGACATAATTGCTTTTACAGTGATCAGATCATTGTTTTTATAATGATTAAAAAGATGGTGGTTAAGGTTGCAAATACACATTTGATGCTCATGCTACTCCTGGTGGAAGGACCTCCACTAAAGAGAGCTCCAGCGAGCCCCTCTAGTGGATATTTTGGCCAACACAATGGCCAGACATATTGGAGGAGATGGGAGTATCCACGCTTGGAATGAGTAGGCTCGTTCCAAAATCAGCCAAAATGTGAAAGTATTAAGAGCCCATCTTCAGTACACTGCTGTATGAAGGCAATCCCGTAACGTGTCAGTCATTGGGGTTGTTTAAACATATTTCATCATCCTGGTCAGTACAGATTGGTGAAGACCAGGACTGGTTCAGGTATATCTCACCACTTGTGCTAGCCGTGGCCGGACATAGAACTCAGGTTGCTGAGTTCATAGTACAGAGCTATACCCACCACATGGATGCTCCACCCAAATGTGAACATCATCTGGAACTAAATGTAAACATAAGAATTGCTTTTTCCTACCATACATTTTGTTTTCCAAATATTAGTTGCAAAAGGCATAGCTGCGTGGATTTGAAATAACACAATAATTATATATGTTGTATTCATAAGGCAGTGTTTGTCCATGGTAACAGTCATAAAGTATACTCGACCTATTTCACTCAAGTATATACATTTCAATCCACTGCTGGTTGAGGGCCCCCCAAGTCGTGTTGATCGTGGGGGTCGTCTGACCATATTTCACATTGCTGCTCAAGGCAGGTTGGTGAAGGCTGGGAGTATACACATGGGAGCATGGAAGTACAGTACAACAATGGATTTTACTGGACCACCCTTTGCTGCCCATCACGTAGCCCCACAGCCCTACGGTAACCTGTTTATTTGTAAAAAAAAAAAGGTGGCCACTCGTCCAAGCACGATCCAGGCTCAACCCCTGCATAGTCCCTGACATCCGATGGGATATCAGATAATTGTGGTGACAGGCAAAAGACACAAAACGTCCACCGCTGTGGAAATTACACAATTCCAAAGAGTTTAGGGTGCACAGATTTGCGTCACTTGCTTCAATTCATATAATGACCGCTGTGCAAATGGGATACAGCGCTCATTTCATTGTGGCTTTTAGAGAGTTAAAGGGGTTAATACAGGCACCTTCTGCACGTGCTATTTTCTCTTTGTCTTCCATCAATAATCAGCTTGTGGGCTGTACTGAAATGCAATCACCTTATAGATTTGGCCCCTGCTTGCTGTGTTAACCACACTGCCAACCACAATCCCAACATCAGGGTAAAACATGAACATCGGAACAAGCTTTTCTCAATTCTGCAGTCACTTTTCAATATACTTTTCATTAATTCATTCATTTGTCCCTTCAACACATTAGTGACGAAGGTGCAGAATGGATTTACACCACAGCCTTCTTTCCTTTAGCCAGTATACCTTCTTCACTCAAACTCAACCCTTTTTTCTTCCTTTAGATATTTTACCGCTGCATCCACCCACATGGTTTCCTTTGTTCCGCATTGTCAAGTCACGGGACATTCTCTCGCCGACTGTCCCGCGTCCAAACCACCGCAGTCTTTTTTTCCTGACTTTTCCGAATAAGGCTCTTTTCACCGATAACCGTTTCGACATCCGAGTTGCCTTCGAATAGATGAACGCGTACTTGAGTGTTGTTGTTTACATTACAATTATACTTTACTGACAGGCGTTTTGCAAATGTGTTAACGTACGAAAAAAATAAATATTTTTGATCACCCTCACGGTTCCCTTTCCATGGCCATTATCCAAGGTGCGTCCAAGTGGAGTAAACGTTTAAATTCCAAAAATCTTTAACGAAAACAGGACCCCCCCCCCCCTACCCTCCCAAGGTCAACTTGGCCTCAAATGAGAGTACAACGAGGGCCCCCTCTCCCACCACCAAAGCCTGCGTGCCTCAGCCTGAAATTAATATCTAGAATTTGGCAAAGGAATAAAGGTGGCAGGGCATGCATGCTGGCCATCCACTCCGTCATTTGTCTGGCCAAAAACCAAGTGCACTACAGTGGCAATTGTGCCTAAGTCTAGAAACTACAAAGGTTCTTAATTAAAATATAAACAGACATACACACACAATACACCACAACTGAAATTCACATATCATTCACATATCCAGTATATAATGAGGCATATTACCGATCGGGACCATCTGGCCAAAACGGATCACGTGGCGTCGACGTGGGGAGTGGCGAACACAAAAGACTCATGCAAAATAAATCACCGATCGTTTGATTAACGTATGCATGTATGTTCAACTTATTTCACACCGTACGGAGCCAACTATGCTCATCGGAGGTGAGGGGGAAGGACTACAAACTAAACACAAAAAGCAGTTCTCAATAAATTAGTCTTTCATTTTGATTTAAAAGCGCATAGCTCCAGTGGCATCCTAATATCGGAAGAGCGTTCCAGACGGCCGCAGAAGCGCATCTGAAAGCGCGCGATGCAGTGCAACGTCGTCTATGCTCGATGGTTAGCCAAAAGCTGCTGCGAGGATGAATGAAGTTTACGTGATGGTTAATGCTACTTGACAATATCAGCAATGTATTGTGGTTCATTTGTCGCAAACACTTTGTGTGTTATGTGCACGACCTTATAACAATAAGTGCCACGTTATAAAATGTTCATCAGCTGCACTTTGCTGGTGCCAACATCGCGAGACTCGGTTAGGTAGCTTAAGTGAGCAAGGGAGGCATCCAGTAATCTAATAATCATACTAATGATGACATTTGTTTATCCAGGAAAGCCTCACTGAGTCTATCTCCAGAATATTTTTAAGGGTGGGGGGGGGGGGGGGGTCCTATGTTGGGACGTTCAGACAATTACTAGCTGTGTATTCAAAGATTTGAAAAATGTAGAATTTAGGGTTACATCTTTCATTGTTTGTCACTGACATTTCCAATATATTATTTCGGCTACCTGTAAAGTTTGTTTACGCAAGTGTATAGGTATTTGTCCATCCACTGCTGGATGATGGGCTGCCCACGACATTTCGTCACGGACCAGGACTGGTTCAAATAGAACCCTCATCTGATGTTAGCAACGGCCAGGAATAAAATTTGAGTTGCCAGGTTTTAAAGCGAGGTGCGCGAAATGCTGCAGACACTTACAGGTCACATTTTTTTTTTTAATGCAGTAATTCAGATGCGATGTTGCTTTTGTACAAGTAAATTTGAATTGTGTAATTGTTGTTAGTGATTTTACATTCAAGGCAAAATGTAAAAGTCACAAACATTAAACTTTCATGTTTCCTTTGATTTCTGCTCCAATCATAGACGAGACGCAATGATGGCAGCAAGGATGATATATTTCCCCACTAAGCGAGAAGTCAGAGATGTATTTACCATTTTATTAACATGCCGAATCCACCCGTTTGTACGATATATTATTCAGCATAGGCTGCCGCAGAGTGCTGTTTACAACTGTAAATTTTGTTGCAATTATTAAAAATGAAAGTGTTTTGGCCTCATTAATTCCGTTATGTCACAATCTGCCTCTGCACGACAGGCTTACGGCTTGCCCACACCACCGCACTTTCTGTGACACGTCATGCTTTATAGGAAGATGCAATCCAATGTATATAGATAGCTCATAATTCCAAATAGTAGCTTGTCGTTATTGACTGAACACAGGTTCAGTGTCTCCAGAAATACTATACGAGAATGAAATGCAATATATTTAGAGTGGATTATGATGGGTTTATATAACGTTGAAATTAGACTGCATGTCAAGATGCTTAACGGATACAGTGGGCAGGTTATCTGTAACTACTTTGGAGATTTGTTAATGAGACAAAGTATTTGAAGTAATTTCAAGGCATCACTTTTGCACGTCCGCCGTACTTGGTAAAACATTTGTATGTATTTTTTTTCTCCCTTCCCCAGATGTTATCCCGATTGTGTTACCATTGTCATGTAACGAGCCGAGGGATCCATTCTGATCTCTCCCGGAGCAGTGCAACACTTCCTGTGATAGAACGACCCATGGAAGCGGATATCACAGAGCTGCCTCTAAGATCTGTCAAAGTGACCCCGGGTCCACACAGTTGGGGACAGAAATTAACCACCCAATCTGCTAACGCAAGTATTGTTTTCCGCCTAACTGTAAAACTGATATTTTTTATTGTTAAAAGCCAAATCGTGAGCCAAATTAAGTGTAGAACCAAATCTCAAGTGATTTTTTTATGCATTCAGTAGTGACCAGGCTGATACCATAAACTCACTGACACTTGCGTGTCCGATTTAATCACAGGCAGCTGTTTAAACACAAGATGGACTCAAGAGGTCAGTGGTCTGACATGAGTTTCTTAAACCCCCTCCCACACCTCTATCCAGCCAGCAGTAAGGGTGCCACGGTGGCGAGATGTTAACTACCTCACCTGGTATCCAGGAGGTCGTGGGTTTGAACCCAACCCTGACGCCTGTACATTTGAAGTTTGCATGTTCTCCCCGTGGTCACGTTAATTTTTCTCCGGATCCTCCGTTTTTCCCTCCACATGATAAGCCACTGCTTTAAGCTATCATTTGTGACCAGGTCGCTTCTGAACAAGAGCTATATAGCTCTCAGTGGACCTTACCTGGTAATTTTTTTTTTTGTTTTAGCATAATTGGGCACACGGCAGTGAGCCAATCTCCAGGTCGCGTATTGTGGGGTAAAGTGTGGACACTCCGACCTCTTCCAAGCCCTCTTGGCTGTGGGTGACAGAGTTGGCCAAAAAACCCTCTGGAGGGGCTCCGTAGAGCTGCCTTGAGTGGAGACCCTTCTGTCACCATTGGTGTGAACAAGAAATGGCAGGCCTGCACCTTTTACCTATCCAATGAGGAAGAAGAATAGCAGAAGGCTGAATGAAAATAGTCTGTAAATTATAATATACAACCCTTTTGTCAATGCACTGCTGGATGAAGGCCTCCCCAATGCTGTGTAGGTCAGCGGGGGTTTGTAAAACCATACTTCACCACACTGGTCAGTTATTGATGGTATAGAGGAAGAGCCCAGGACTGGCCCTTCAGCATCTTCATCTTATCTTCACTATGATAGGGATGAGTCTCATTTTAAACATTTTACGATTTCTAAGGGAAATTATAGACCTATTTTAGAATTTCTGGATCATTTAGATTGTATGATAATGTAATGCGTCTTGCTGACAAAAATTATGTCAAAACCGGTCAAAAGTTTGCTTTGTACAAAATCAATGCTGCTAAAATAATTTACTCCCAGAAGGCCACGGGGCCAATGGCTTGTACAGTAATACCCCGGTTTACGTCGGGGATGTGTTCCTGAAAGTTTCGACGACGAATATCGAAACGACGTCAATCAAAGCAATTTACAGGATAGGTGGAGGGTTAGGCTGAGAGGCAATGGATACGAAAATGGACGGATCATGCTGTCAGCAACGTAAGTGTGGGTTGAGGTAACGCAAATCAGGTAGCGGTATCAATAAAGTGTTGACGTAGTTGCGAAATGACGTAATGGCAGGGAAACGTAAATCGGGGTATTACTGTGTAAACAACACTTTGTGTTTTTATATATTTGGAGATACAGAGACTATATGAAGGAGACGTAATATCTCATTACCTACTGTCTCAGCTGCCCCAAGCACAAACGCTCAACGGCGTACCTCTTCTCGCCGGCCAACGTCTCGACGGCACCCTGCTTGTCGCTCAGCATCTGGCGCAGGTGGCGGATCTCTCCGTCGTAGCGTTCGCTGCGGCCCGCCCAGCCGGCCTGCGCGTCCTGCGAGCGGCCGGCGACCTCCGCAATGGCCTGTGCCGCACGCGCCCTGTACACCTTACGGGATATCACGGACAAAAGTGAAAATGAGATTACGATTTTTTTTCCCGGGACTCAAATGAACAGTGAGGTGGTGCTCATTTTCTTATTTACATCCCTGTGTCAGTGGTGAAAATCCCCCATTCTCATGGCAATGGCGAGTTGATCCACAAGAACAGCCGCTGTTGACTTCCCCCATAAAGGCGTACTCATTCCATCGACCCCGAAGCCAAGGATGAGCCGAGTCAACATCCAACCAGAATTTGAACTCGCAAACCTTCATATTACGAGCCACTTGCGCTACCGCTGAGCCACCTGGGCGCATTGCAAGACAGGCGGTAGTATTTACGCAAATGTGCCCGTAAGGAACAAAAAAAGCTTTTATAATTGCTGTATATTCACTGCTATGGCATAAGGACCAGAGACATTTACATCGACAAAAGAGAATGGGAACAAAAGCTCAAAACTGCACAAAGAGGCATTAAGAGGTACGTGCTTGGAATTACACCGAGAGACATGAAGAGGAACACGTGATTGATAACACAAGCTAGAGACATTGCATTGACCGTTAAGAAAAGGCTTGGGGCAGGACGCGTTGTGACGAGGCGTGATGACCAGTGGTCGAGACAAATGATGGAGTGGCAGCCAAAGGAGAGAAACATACTCCAGAGGACATTGACTGTGGATATGGAGGTATGCAATCGGATTTTGTGCAGACAATGAGAGATGGTGATGGCTAGGGGAGGCTGTCATTCAGCAGTGGATTGATCATGGCTGATGATGATGGTTTTGGTGGGGGACAAAAGAGTGTTGGGTTTGATTTGATAGAATTATTTCCCTTGGACAATTTATTTTCTTATTTAGGATATCCTCACTGAGTCATCAGACAATTTTCTTAAGATCCAGGGAGGTCCTGCAATGGGATCTTCAGCCAATTCATTTTGAGAAAGATGAAAAGACAGTGTAAGGAAAGCCCATGACGAAATAACTCCAAATGTACCCAAACACGTCGTACCTTGAAAGCTAAGCGGGTAAAATCATGGTACGTGTATGGCAGAATACAAGGGAATACCAGGTGTTGTAGGTCTAAGGCTGCGATGTGGTCATGAGGTGACAGTACAGTACAGCAACGGATTCTCACATTTATTTGAGCACGAACCCTTAATAATGCTTGGGTTTCGAACTGCAGCCTTCTACGCGCCACCTCACCACCCGAGGTTCACGGCTATAGACCGATAAAACAACGGCAAATAATTTTGAAGGGAGCCTTAGCAATATCCGTGGATGTGTGTGAGAAGTATACTTAATTTGTAAGGTTAGCCCGCGGAAGGCGAACAGGAACAGGGAATTCTTGTGGGTTTTTTTTTGCTGAATGTTTGTAAAATCTAATTTAACGCGTATCACATGCCACCCAAGCAAGCCACAGCATTGTGCGCGGCAGGCTGCCGTGCTAATGCCACACAAACGGAGGAAGGAAGGAAAACAAGCCCAACAACAGCTACGAAAAGGACGAAAGGTCAGCCGGCAGGAAGTTTATCCTCTTCGCCGATTGATTCGGGCATTCTGCTGCTTACACGCACAGCCATTCTGTCACTGGACTGCTGGATAAGGGTCTCCCCACGCCATGCGGGTCATGGGGGATATTTTGTTTAACCATACTTTACCACGCTGGTTAGCTCAGGATGGTGGACCCGTGTAGACGTCATAGCATATCAGTCCGGTACAAGAATAGATTTGGCTGCACTGCCCTCTGCTGTCCACAACATAGCCCCATATCAGCCTATACCACCTGCTTGTATATGGTAAGTCACCCATGCAAGCACTATCCAAGCTCAACTCAGCTTAGCTTCTAAGATCTGGAAGGATCTGGCGCATTCTGGGTGAATGGTGATAGTCCTGCTGATAACCATATGTTATATAAAGTAACGGAATTCGCGTTGCCAATATTTGCAAATTCGGTGGCTTTGAATGCACACATTTAGGAGGACCTTGATTCCCAGCCAGCCATTCTCACCAATGAACTGCCGCATCGCATTAGCGAGCGCATCACTGATGCACAATGCATGCATTTATAAATATTGAATTATTCTCTAAACCTATTTGTTAGCATAGTTATTTTCTGCCTCCCCAGATTGCGAGATTACGCTCTGAGGTTAGAGACACAATGTACATACGAGCATGTAGTGCTGGGAAAAAACATGACCCTCATTAGTAGACCCACATGCAAATATTTACAGTGAGGGAAAAAAGTATTTGATCCACTGCTGATTTTGTACGTTTGCCCACTGACAAAGAAATGATCAGTCTATAATTTTAATGGTACGTTTATTTGAACAGTGAGAGACAGAATAACAACAAAAATCCAGAAAAACGCATGTCAAAAATGTTATGAATTGATTTGCATTTTAATGAGGGAAATAAGTATTTGACCCCTCTGCAAAACATGACTTAGTACTTGGTGGCAAAAACCCTTGTTGGCAATCACAGAGGTCAGACGTTTCTTGTAGTTGGCCACCAGGTTTGCACACATCTCAGGAGGGATTTTGTCCCACTCCTCTTTGCAGATCTTCTCCAAGTCATTAAGGTTTCGAGGCGGATGTTTGGCAACTCGAACCTTCAGCTCCCTCCACAGATTTTCTATGGGATTAAGGTCTGGAGACTGGCTTGGCCACTACAGCACCTTAATGTGCTTCTTCTTGAGCCACTCCTTTGTTGCCATGGCCGTGTGTTTTGGGTCATTGTCATGCTGGAATACCCATCCACGACCCATTTTCAATGCCCTGTCTGAGGGAAGGAGGTTCTCACCCAAGATTTGACGGTACATGGCCCCGTCCATCGTCCCTTTAATGCGGTGAAGTTGTCCTGTCCCCTTAGCAGAAAAACACCCCCAAAGCATAATGTTTCCACCTCTATGTTTGACGGTGGGGATGGTGTTCTTGGGGTCATAGGCAGCATTCTTCCTCCTACAAACACGGCGAGTTGAGATGATGCCAAATAGCTCCATTTTGGTCTCATCTGACCACAACACTTTCACACAGTTGAGATTAGGAGCACACTCTAAAAGGTAGTGCTCCTAATCTCAGCTTGTTACCTGTATAAAAGACACCTGTCCACAGAAGCAATCAATCAATCAGATTCCAAACTCTCCACCATGACCAAGACCAAAGAGCTCTCCAAGGATGTCAGGGACAAGAATGTAGACCTACACAAGGCTGGAATGGGCTACAAGACCATTGCCAAGCAACTTGGTGAGAAGGTGACAACAGTTGGTGCGATTATTTGCAAATGGAAGAAACACAAAAGAACTGTCAATCTCCCTCGGCCTGGGGCTCCATGCAAGATCTCACCTCGTGGAGTTGCAATGATCATGAGAACAGTGAAGAATCAGCCCAGAACTACACGGGAGGATATTGCCAATGATCTCAAGGCTGGGACCATAGTCACCAAGAAAACAATTGGTAACACACTACGCCGTGAAGGACTGAAATTCTGCAGCGCCCGCAAGGTCCCCCTGCTCAAGAAAGCACATATACATGCCCGTCTGAAGTTTGCCAATGAACATCTGAATGATTCAGAGGACAACTGGGTGAAAGTGTTGTGGTCAGATGAGACCAAAATGGAGCTCTTTTGTATCAACTCAACTCACCGTGTTTGGAGGAGGAATGCTGCCTATGACCCCAAGAACACCATCCCCACCGTCAAACATGGAGGTGGAAACATTATGCTTTGGGGGTGTTTTTCTGCTAAGGGGACAGGACAACTTCACCGCATCAAAGGGACGATGGACGGGGCCATGTACCGTCAAATCTTGGGTGAGAACCTCCTTCCCTCAGCCAGGGCATTGAAAATGGGTCGTGGATGGGTATTCCAGCACGACAATGACCCAAAACACACGGCCAAGGCAACAAAGGAGTGGCTCAAGAAGAAGCACATTAAGGTCCTGGAGTGGCCAAGCCAGTCTCCAGACCTTAATCCTATAGAAAATCTGTGGAGGGAGCTGAAGGTTCGAGTTGCCAAACATCAGCCTCGAAACCTTAATGACTTGGAGAAGATCTGCAAAGAGGAGTGGGACAAAATCCCTCCTGAGATGTGTGCAAACCTGGTGGCCAACTACAAGAAACGTCTGACCTCTGTGATTGCCAACAAGGGTTTTGCCACCAAGTACTAAGTCATGTTTTGCAGAGGGGTCAAATACTTATTTCCCTCATAAAAATGCAAATCAATTTATAATATTTTTGACATGCGTTTTTCTGGATCTTGTTGTTGTTATTCTGTCTCTCACTGTTCAAATAAACCTACCATTAAAATTATAGACTGATCATTTCTTTGTCAGTGGGCAAACGTACAAAATCAGCAGGGGATCAAATACTTTTTTCCCTCACTGTAAGCCACTTCGTTGAGATATATATGTGTGTGGCCAGATCGCTTCTGAAAAAGAGCAAAATAGCTCAGTGGGTCTTACCTGGTAAAATAAAAAAAATGGGTTTAGTTTTATCGTTCATTCTTGGTAATGACGTTGCAGGATCCTTAACAGCCATTGTGAAGTAGATGGCGTGTAGTATATATGATCTTTCGCACCGTACGTACCCAACCGTGATTATCAGAGGTGCCGAGGAAGGACAACAAACTAAATACGCCCACAGTATTAATCAGGGTGGCCACTGGATTCAAACCGTGAACCCCTTCAACAAGCAGCCCTAAAGCAGCGATGTATGGTAATGACATGGGCTGGCCAGTAGTGGATTAACAAAGGTCTGTAGATTATTTATTATTTTTTTAACAGGGAAAATGTTGTACACAAGCACGGTGAGGTGGTTGCAATATTTTCTATCTACTGCAGAAGTCATATGAATTATGAAACCTGTTTGGTACACATCAGGATTAGCAGTTCTTCTTGTATAATTAATATAAATCATTTACAGCCCTTTGCCATTCCACGGCCGAACACCTTCCCATGTCCTGACGGTCATAATTTACCATGCTAGTTTGATCATATTTCAACCAAGTTAGTCAGTGCTGGTTAGTGAAGGCGTTTCCCAACTACCAGTTTGGATATCGCTCGCCGCTGATGTTAGCTGTGACCGGGAAACGAAGTCAGGTTGGCCAGGTTCACAGTGCAGAGCAATAACCACAGTGCCACCGCCTCACAGATTATTTTCTTATTGAGAAAAAAAAATACCTGGTCCTCACCTTCAGGGCTGCTACTCCTCCGTTCCATTGCAAACACGAGGATTACATTTTCAATCGACTCTTGCCAGTTTCACGGAAACTGTGCTAATATCTAAACGATGTTGTTATCACACTGTCAATTTTTTTCACCACAACCAAAAAAATTTGTAATTTTATTTTGCTATTAGAAACAATCACACTCCTGGTTAATTAAATGTAAAACTCGGCACAGCCATATTGCGCGGCGTTTGGAGAAAGGCGCTTTTGTGAGGCACGGGCACGGTGATGCAGAAAAGGGTTTTCATGTCGTTTTCCCCAGGTTCGGGTGATGAAGCTAATTAAACAGCGGCTGAGCACCAACGCATTTGCATTAATGATATCAGTCACAAGCAACTTTGGGAATTTGGGAGGACTAAATCAGATTACATTTCAGCTAATCCCTGGCATTATATAGAGAGCAACAGTCAATGAAACTCAATTATTATTGTTATCGCCAGTGGAGCGGTGGCTGCACTATGAATCCAGTGATCCAAGTTCAATTCCCAGCCATGGCTAACATTTGTGGCGAGTGATATCCGAGAGAATCCTGGGCACTTCCTTCACCAACAAGCACTGACCGGTGTAGCGAACTAAGCCAAACAACCCCCCTATGGCTGAAATGTCCTGGGAAGGCCTTCATGCAGCAGTGGATGGCTGTAAACTATTACTATCATTGTTATTAAAACGCCACTATTTCTTAAAAGTTACATACATCAAAAAGAAAATGGTTCAATGCGTAGGGCACGTGTGCAGGATGGGGGAGGACAAGTGATTGAGACAGAAAGCCGAGTGGCACCCAGAGGTCATCGATCAAGGTACAAGCATAAAGGTATGATGAGATTATAAAAGGTCAAATGTCGATGGCGCAAGAACTGCAGGACCCAACAGACATAATGAAGAGACGGTGAGCTGTAGTAAAATGGACGACATTCACCGCAATGGCTTCTTGATAAAGACATCATTGCTGCTCGAATCTGACGGTGACATCTACGAACACGCTCACCGAACTGACGTTTTTTCGTTTTGAAACCCCAACGAACAATATAGCTCAGGGTAGACGCCTGTTTGCAGTAATTAATGGAATGAAATCACTGTTGAGTCATTCCACGCCACACCACACTCCCAACTGCAACTTTGCTTTAATCATCACCTTAAGAGATGAAGAAACCAATCGGAAATTTCACAGAGCAGTGCAACATTAAATTTCGATTTAAAGCTTTCGTGACTGCAATGATTCATCTTCTTTGGTTCTTTCGGTAAAGTCACGCAAAATGAGAATAAAATAATAAATTGATAAAATAAAATAACACAATAATATTCTCACGACGTTTCGGCCACAACACAAGCGGCCTTCATCAGGTGAAGGGACGAGACTGTCTGGTAGGACAGCGCTGGAGTGAAAGAGCCACGTTCAGATCAAGACCTTTAATATGTGTGAGAGGAAACAAAGCGCCTTGACAAAGGAATTAGCATATAATTTAGCATTGAAATGGCTGAGTGATTAGCTTGTGACTGGTCACAGAAATAGCTATGTTAAAAGTTAAAGCATACACATCCGCAGAGGCACCCCTTGATAAAGGAATTAGCATAGAATTTAGCATTGAATAGCTAAGTTAAAGCATACACATCCGCAGAGGCACCCCTTGACAAAGGAATTAGCATAGAATTTAGCATTGAAATAGCTGAGTGATTAGCTTGTAACTGGTCACAGAAATAGCTACGTTAAAGTCAGAGCATACACATTCACCGAGGCACTTAGTACAAATCAAACAGGAGAATTTAGCATTGAAATAACTAGGCGAATTTGCAACCTTGTGTATTAGAGAGATTTCTTTCAAGGACATATTCCGACAAGTCCTTAAGGTGACCATTTAGCCTTCATGAGATTATTTCACACATTGATAGGCCAATGAATATTTGTTTTAATTCTCAGAGCCGAAATTTAAGTCAAATTAATTGTAAAACCAAGGTTACTATGATCGGGTTTAAAAAAAACTATTTTCTGCTCATGCATGCACGTTTCTTCGAATGTTTTTCTCTTCTTTCTCCAGCCATCAGTGTCATAGCATGGGGCAAATAAATGTCCGATGAGTAGGTCATCAATCTGGACCAGAAAACAGCCCCAGAAGACATCACAGTGGGAACATTCGTGCCTTACAGCAAGAAGGGTCTGAGTTCGATTCCCAACTCGGGCACCTTTCTGTGGAGTGTTTAAATGTTCTCCCCCTAATAATAGGGTTTTCCCCTTTTTTCTGGCAACAAAACTGAAACCTTTTTACAAGGATTCATGTCTGCATTAACCACAATACCTGCAGTCAAAATGCAAACAAAAAACACACTATGATAATAAATGCATTGTCCTTGAAACTTATTGGTCCACACCAAAGGACAGATTTCTTTTGTGCCTCGACCCAATTGGTGCTCGACCAGATGACGCCAAAAGGCGTACTCGTCCCTTGGTGTGGACCAATCAGTTTCAAGGACAATGCATATATTATCATAGTATGTTTTTGTTTGCATTTTAACTGCAGGTATTGTGGTTAATGCAGACATGAATCCTTGTAAAAAAGGTTTCAGTTTTCTTGCCAGAAAAAAGGGGAAAACCCTATTATTACATTTTGGTACTGGCAAAGGAGGTCTAATGATGTTCTCCCCCTGTTCAGCATGGGTTTCCTCTGGGTTCACGTGTTTCCTCCCAAAGCTATAAAATAAAATAAAAAAATTAACAGGTATTGGCAAAACATCGCAATGCTGAAAATTACTTGAAAATTCCTCAATTAGAATTGCACAGAGCAAACATTGTACCCTGCTGCAAAAACTTGGCAGGACCCTCCTGAAAATTATTTTTGAGACTCAGTGAGGTTTTCCTGGGTAAACGAGCATAACAAATAAAATTATAGTAAATCACTCCAATAGATCCCTTTATCACAACTTTGAATGGCTCTACAAGTGATTTTTTTTAGCATCTCATTGCAATGAAACTGACAATTACATCTCAGAGCCGGAATAAGGTGCATTTAAGTATAAAACCAAATTGGAAATAATTTTGTCGTGCAGTCATCGGTGACAGGCCTGAGGCCATCAACTAACTGCACATATTTTCCATAATCACCCAGCACCAAAAACAAAACATAAATTTTGTTGGTGTTCCATTCTGTCTCCCCCCATGGGTGTCACGTTGGCAACACACGTGGTGTCCGTTGCCAGGCGTCTCGTCAAGTGAGCAGAGGGGAAAGAAAAGTCACCTGGGGGGGGGGGGGTCTCGTCATTTTTAGATCTAATGATCTCAGCTTAAGCCTGATCGCCCCTTGTGTTTTGCTGGCCCAGCCATTCTGAGATTGCATTGAGAACGTCTGTAGCAATGCATGTAAATCTGTACGATTCATCCGAGATAATATCGTCCTAATTAAAATATAATTAAATCGGTGAGGGTGCATACTAAATTGCTTATTATGCCCGACATTGCTTCACTGTTGCCGTAGCAACTCATCGCCAAAATTAGGGAACGTTAATTAAATGGCAAGCGCTTACTTCCATTGCCACTAAGTTAAGTGTACCGTTCCTCATAAAGGGTTCCGTAAAAACAAGGCATAATAGTTCACGAATTGAAATCAATAATTCTCGAGAATTAAAGGGCGGGGAAGTTTATTCGCAACATACGGCTGGCAGAATGGAACCGTCGACTCCATACAACCTGGATTTAGTGGCGATACCACTCCAGAACCCTGAGGGCAGGGGTTTGGGAGAACGTTTTCCTTGCCGAGGGCCGAACAAGACCTTTAGCAGGCCACGCGTTGACGCACACACACAGCCCTGAGTCACTTCTGACAGAAATGACTGAGCACAAACAAAATAGGAAAATATTCTGCTCTATTTACCAATTAGTGTGACTAAAATGCTTGCAGTGATGGATAACTGTTGCTTCACGTTTTTTGAAATGGTGTAAGCCTTATGTGGGCCGTATATTTCCCCAACCCTCACAACGATAAAGTAAATAATTGACGCAGTTTTTTTTTCTGCATTAGAAAATATAATCTTTGGTTCTTTCGGTAAAGTCACGGAGGTGAAAAAAGAAAATAAATTAAATCACGACGTTTCGATTGCAACACAAGCAATCATCATCAGGTGTGACAACCACAGCAAGAAATGTTTACTGATGATGATTGCTTGTGTTGCAATCGAAACGTCGTGATATAATTTATTTTATTTTTTCACCTATGTGACTTTACCGAAAGAACCAAAGAATATGGATCCTTGCAGTCACGAAAACTTTAAATCTAGAATAGAAAATATAATTTAATGACCGATTATGCACCGCTTGTTTTTCATTAAAAAAATGATTGTCGTTTGACATCGGACCATTGTTGTCTGACATTGGATGTTTCACCTTAAAACACATCAGCACAACCGCAAAACATCTACGCAGTCTTGGAAACGTTTCTGTTCACAACCCTCTTATGCCGTTTGTAAGCAGCTGTAATACCGGCTTGGCTGATATCCGATTGCGTTTCCCAATTGATCAGTCCTCGACAGTGGAAGCACGCTTAATGATTCCAAGCATCAGTTTGAAGAATGGCAGCACCATTCCTCGGAGATTATTTCAAAATAAGTGCAAGCAAACAATACAAATCATTGGAACGGCTGCAAGCGCAAAAGCAACAATATGAAATACCACCTACTCCCGGTTGCCAATCTCTTGCCGGGGCACAATCGAGTGCAGCGCTCACAATTTACACCCGTGAGGGAAGGCTACAGCACCCTGGGCTGTTAAACATCTCCTATTCTTGGCGCAGTCAATTTTAAGGATCGACCGTAAAAATAAATAAACAACTGCACCCGACTGCTTCTCAAAGAGGGCCTTTGCATCCCACGATACATGTTTATCCTTTGATGTCCAGGGGGTGTGATAGGGGCTTGCATCACAAAGAAAATCCTGTGGAGTAGGGGAGATAACACAAAATACCATTTCCCACATCCAACTCTCAAAAAGCCATCGTTAATCAGCGCATGTATCCGGGACATCTGGCACAGTCTATTCGCGGAAGGCAGGGAATCGAGAGAGAAAGTGCACAATTCCCCACACGTCCTTCCCTTTTTGGTATTTTTTTTCACGGCTTATTCACAAGTGTTGACCCCTTACAGCAAGCTACGATGTTTAACTCTTTAACGGGCCAAAATGTCACGCAAGTGATGGCTGAGTGACTCATCGGTCTGCGAGGAAATTCTCCACCGTTACGTTCAACCGTTAACTCCATTTGCGTAAAGCAGCAATGCCTTCCAATTTCAACCCAGTTCTAGATTTGAAACTTTCGTGACAGCAAGGATCCATACTCTTTGGTTCTATTCGGTAAAGTCACGTAAAAGTATATAACAAAAAATAAAAATAAAAAATAAATAATTCACGACGTTTCGACCACAACACTCCAGCGCTGTCCTCGAGACAGTCTGGTCCCTTCACTTGTGTTGTGGCTGAAACGTCGTGATTTTTTTTATTTTTTGTTGTTTTATACTTTTACGTGACTTTACCGAATAGGACCAAAGAGTATTCAACACAGTTACTTAATTGTCAAAAGATCTTTGGCAAAAATCAATTCAGTCATTCTGCAGCCAAGGCGGGTGGTACTACAGGTTGGTTAGCTTACTGTGGATGGCAACATTCTGTTCACGCTCCACCTAAAGTCCTTTGTGTGTTCTCCCGGACCCCGCGCAATAGATACGGTGCCCACGCAGCAATGACGAACGACATGGCGATCTGGACCCAGGCCCGAGGCAGCATCCGATCGATTGGCAGAGGCAGTGCCGGCAGCGGGGGCAGCGGAGAGGAGTACGAGTGCAAGATCTGCTACCACGCGTATGATCTGCGCGCGCGGCGCCCCAAACTGTTGGCGTGCAGCCACGGCGTGTGCTCGCACTGTCTCTCCCGGATACTAAGCGGCGGCAGCGGCAGCAGCGATGGCTCGCGCCAAATCCCATGCCCGTTCTGCCGTTGCCCCACGGCGGTGCCGCCCTCGCGCGACGTGTCCGCTCTGCCCGAGGACAAGGCACTCGTGGGCAGCATGGTGGCTCGGTGGAGGCCTCCTCCTCCGCCGTCAGTTCGGCCGGCGCGCCACAACGGCGGCGGCGGCGAGATGCTGCTCAACCCGCTGCGCCTGAAGACTTCCTCGCTGGCGCTGTGCGTGTCGGTCGACTGCCTCGCACTCAACGCGCTGAGCGGGGACCACCTCGCGGGACGCTTCCCCAACGCAGCGCTCGGCCACAACAGGGCGTCGAGCCTCGACCTCAACTGGGCGATGGCTCGCAACCACGACCACCTTTCGGAACTCGGCCAGATTCAGCACACGGGCGTGGGAATAGGCTTAGACCAAAGTCAGGTGTTCACCTATGGTCAGAACCAAGGCACGGGGTTGGCCCTGAACCTGGCAGCGCGCCAGAACTTCACCGGCGACTCCACGGCAGTAGCAAGCTCGCCGAGTGGGACGATGGCAAACTCCGGCCGGCCGCAGAGCCACGACTCGACGTTCTCGCACGGCAGTTCCACGTCGCGGAGGGGGCTGTGCGGCAGGGCGCCCCGCCTGCTGCTCTGGCTGCTGGGCTTTGCCTACTTCAGCTCTCTGCCCGTGGGAATCTACATGCTGGTGATGGAACGTGTGGCGCTCGGGGTGCTGCTCATCAACCTCATGCCAGCCACGCTGACCGTGGGCCTCCTGTACGGGCTGTGTCGATGCGTCTGGCAGGAGCGATGCGCCACGTGCGCCACTCCGTAACGGCGCCGCAGGCTTGGGCTGACCGTCACAACTTGCAGGGGAAACTCGCAAACGTCAGCAACGCAAGTCTAAACCAAAGCAATAAAAGGGATAAGTTTTTTTAAGGTAGCGAAAAGAAGTTACGATTTTTGTTGAGGGCAGTACTGTGGTCCAACGCAGCACTTAATTCCGTGGTAATGATGCACAATTGAGTAGCATGTTTGAAAATTTGCATACACCCGTCTGTTCTTCAAGATGATGAGTTTCCACTACAATTTACCAGTCTGCAAGTACAACTATTATGACAATATCAGTGACTTTTGATAATAAACGATGGCCGTGTTTTCCACAGACAATGATTCTACACGCATTAACAAAAGATTAGGGGTGATCAAAACTGAGAGACGATGTTGAAACGAACGTTATTATAACAATGAGTTTCTCATCATGATGAGTCGATGGTAAACGGTGTACATAATGTATATCCAGATCCATTTCTGGCCTTGGGGAAATGCCTTAGAGCTTGAAAAGGTGTTTGCTTTCATCCATAAGTCTCGTTTTACAACGGAACATGGGCATCGTTTTGGTGAGAATGTTGCTCTTGAATGCGTACTCCACCCTGGATTCCGCTACCCTTAAATGCTTCGCATGCTAACGTTCAATATTTCTTTTTTTCCAGGAATATTTTATTGCCGGGCCAATCCAATTTTCTCTACGACCCGCTTTTAATCTGAACTGCCAAGGATCAAAGTAATTTAAAGCTTGAGACAATGGTTCACCGCACTGTGGGTACAAGATGCGGTGTGTGCTGTGTGATCGATATGGCCAGAGTGGAAATTATCGATACAAAACCAATAACGTGAGTCCCAGAACTGATAAAAACATATTTCTATTCCCGCTTGATGATGGATACCATTTGCACAATAATAAGGTTAAAAATACAAGAAGACAAAGATATGAGGTTTGAACATATTCATAATCCAAGTTAGTTAAGTTACTCGAGGAAATGTAACGCTTAGGAATATACCCGCGACGAAGTTCCGAACGTGTTCAGATAAACAGCTCAATTAAGCTGCTCATAAAAAAATACGTCATTGTTATTTTTTAAAATAAAGCTGTACATAGAGTGAAAAAAAAATGATATGCCTGTCACACACAGCCCTGCTTCGTATCTGTCAATAAAACGGGTCATGAATAAAGAATAATCGTGGACTGCAAAAACAAATGACTTAGTGCCGTATGACTTCACGTAACGCATACTTTACCACGGAAGGATGCCATGTCCCTTAACTAGAGTCAAGGAGCTCCTGCCATATAACGCATGTCACTGTGACAGAAAACAAGGATCTTTCAACCATATTTGCCAGTGGGCCCCATTAAACAAGATGGAATGCTGCGCTGGGCTTGCGATCAAAATTCGTCGGTATAAATGGGTACACCCAGCAGTATGAACGGGCAACTGCGCCGTTATTCGATCGGCGGGTCGCATGCGGTAACGTTGCAAAGCCCTGGGTTCTTTTTTAAGTGTCCTGTGTTAACACCAAGTGAGAGGGTAGCTAAAAAAAATTTACATAAAAAATCAGAACAGTGCCACAACTGGATGTTTTCTTTAAAAAGCATCAGCCTGTAAATTTAAGTGCATAATGACACCCCCTGGGGTTGATAAAATAAGAACTACTTTATTACGAGACAACAGTGATCATCCTATTGAGAGACTGGCCCTACCGATGGGAATATGGAATTTTAACCTCTGGCTCAGAGACGAGTGTTGCCCCATCGTTCATTTCGGCACGGAGTCACTATGAATTTGTACACATACAAGGAACGTTCTTAAAATACACTGCTGGATGAAAGACTCCCCATGTTGTGTGGGTTATGGGGGGATATTTGACCCGAATTCACCATGCGGGTCAGTGTGGCTTGGTGAAGGTGAGGAGCATAGCTGTGGAAGCATATAAGTACAGTACAACAATGGATTTTGCCACACTGCTCCCTTATGCCCAATATGAAGTCCCTGCAAGCCCCATGACAAGCCAAGCACCATCTTGACTCAATCCAAGCAGCTTCTGAAACAGGGCACATTGCAGGTGATTTGGTCATCGGCGCTATGATTCAGAAGACAACATTTTTTTAAACAAGATTGACGCGCAAAAGAGTAGGCTTAAAAATTCGCTCAATACTGGGCGAGTGTGACCTTTAACTTTTAGTGTCTTGTTCTCAAAATTACTGTAACTTGTATAGAGGTGGGGAGTGGGGGCATCATTTAAGGACCCGACCTTACCTTGACTTTTTCGTGGAGTTTAACAAGTTGAGCGTTGCCCTCCAGCACCCTGTTCAAGACTCCCTCCTTCTCCAACTGCAGGGTTTCAGCCTAGACCAACAGAGAGGCACATTTTACTGATAGGAAACGTAGTGGACTGGAAGCCCAACCGGGATTATCACAGGAGGCAGGGGATTAATTGTGTATGTCTGTGGATGTCTGTCCACGTGTATCCGGACACCCGGATATATAACAAATGCGCTCCTAGTGGGCATTACTGGTAGGAAACGTAGTGGACTGGAAGCCCATCTGGGATTAATTCACAGGAGGCAGACGATTAATAGTGTATGTCTGTGGATGTCTGTCCACGTGTATCCGGACACCCGGATAAAATGGGAGGGGTGGGGCTGGGTGGAGAGGGAGGGGCTGGGTGGAGAGGGAGGGGCTGAGTGGGGAGGGAGGGGCTGGGTGGGGAGGGAGGGGCTGGGTGGGGAGGGTGGGGCTGGGTGGGGGGGTGGGAGGGGTGGGGGGGTGGGAGGGGTGGGGCTGGGTGGGGGGTGGGAGGGGTGGGGCTGGGTGGGGAGGGTGGGGCTGGGTGGGGAGGGAGGGGCTGGGTGGGGGGTGGGAGGGGTGGGGCTGGGTGGGGAGGGGCTGGTCACCCCGTGGTGCCCTTATAAAACTCAATGTTTAACCTACTCACGCCGGCTTGTGCCCGCCCTCACAGTCTGGCATATTTGCGGAATACACCACGCCGCCGTTGACCCTGCCCATTGACCGAGCAACCCAACGTTCCCACCAGCTCCCTCCGCAGGAATGTGTTTTTAATCGGTCAAACCAAATGCCGGTGTTTGCACAACAACCCGGACGGGTCGGAGTATCGCGAAAAAGCTGGCGCTGCCACAGCCGCTCTGTGTTTGTCTCCGCAGCGCCCATGTTTGCACAGCGGTACCAGGTACTCATTTTAGGCTGAGTCGACCGTGAAGTGGGACAGACGAGGTTAAATTCCAATTTCCACGACTGACGACGTGCATCGTGGCCATAAGTTGAAATACAAAAACTCAATACTTTTGTCAAAAACACGGGCCTTTAAATATTACATAACAGGCGACATTTCGGGCAAGGGCCCTTCTTTATAAAAGATGATATTTTTTTTCTCTTTAGCGCAGTGTTATTGACGAATGCATTGAGTTTTGGTTGTTTGTGCGTGTGTACCACTGCCAAAGCAGTATCACAAGGTTTATTCTTTGTTCTAATCCATACAACTGCAAAAACACACTGCAGGTCACAACACTGTGTGTTGTTTCTCGCACTGCTCGGTTTTGGAATCCCCCCCCCCCCACATCGTCTATTTTTCCATGTTCTTACAATCTTGCTCAATTTTTATAAATGTATTTAACTCTTATCCACACCTTTAACAGGTGTGTTTTGGCCTTTCGGATCAGTGCTCAGCAACTGGGATGAATCATAACAATAAAAAAATAACTGAAGCTCGGTTGTCAGGATCAGAGTGCAGTACACTCATTAACTCAATAACTAACCCACCGCCAAAGCTCCCTTGTACATATATCTACATGCATAGCACCGTAAGGGACACTCAAGAGTATATTAGATATCGCCCAAGAAATTAGAGTTCATCATCATAGCCCCCTCTCATAATGGCAGATGACTCATTATCGCACGCGGGCAGGCTATCCGATAGGCCAGTAATTGTTGCTGGCTCCTCGTGAGCTAATCACGGTCGCCAAGCAACGGGAGCATGAATTGTGGCGCCAATTCAACCCCACCTGCTCTGTGCGCCAGCGGCAGCAGCAGTGCCCAGTACCCGAGGGAATAAACATGCCCGGCGACGATCGCGCACACACACACACACACAAAGATCCCCCGCATAGCCTGAACAGACTGTTGGGGCAAGTGCTGCTGTTTGCGAGCAGCACCTATGAAGGCCGGCACGGCACGGCACACGAGGTGGCGGGTGGTCAGCATCACGCCCGGCCGCCTTTGTCTGTTTACACACCGCACCAGGTACTCATTTAAAACTGAGTCAGCCAAGGGGAGGCCCATGACCGATTCAGATAATAGTCACTGGTGTTGGCCGTGAGCAGGAATCGAACTCGGGGGGCTGGGTTTGTAGCGCAGCGCGCGAACCGCTACACTACCGCTCCCCACACATGCATACAAAGACAAAGATCCCCCATATAGCCTTAACAGACTGTAGGGGCAAGTGCTGTTAGCGAGCACCTATGAAGGCCGGAACGGTACACGAGGGGGTGGGTGGCCAGCACCACGCCCGACCGCCTTTGTCTCCCTAGTGGCAATGTTTACACACCGCACCAGGTACTCATTTGAGGCTGAGTCGACCTAGGGGAGGCCTGGGACCGTTTCAGATAATCGTCACTGGTGTTGGCCGTGAGCGGGAATCGAACCCGGGTCGCCAGGTTCATAGCGCAGTGCGCTAACCGCTACACTACCGCTCCCCACATGCATACATACACTTGCATACATACACATGCATACATACACATGCATACATACACATGCATACATGCACATGCATACATGCACGCGCACACAATTGCACGGACACTTCCCAGTTTTCAAAAATCGAATTTGCCGAATAAATTGTATCAAAGCTGTTCGAGGCTAAATTTTGATTTAAAGCTTCCGTGAATGCAGGGATTCATATTCTTGGTTCTTTCGGTAAAGTCACCACGTAGAAGGGAGACAATAAAATAATAAAAATATAAAACAATAAAATTCCCACGACGTTTCGACTGCAACACAAGCAATCATCATCAGGTGTGAAAACCACAACAACAAGATTTGAAAAAACCGCCACTTTTTTCAAATTTTCGTGGTTTTCACACCTGATGATGATTGCTTGCGTGTATTGCAGTCGAAACGTCGTGAGAATTGCATTGTTTTATATTTTTCTTATTTTATTGTTTCCCTTCTACGTGACTGTTCGAGGCTGTTAATAATTTTCTGCAGAGCTGTATGTAATATAAGTGTAAATTGAGAATGGTATGAAATTCAATGAGATACATTTAAAAGGCCATTCCCAGATTTGCCATTACATTATTACTTTGGCCTCACCCGCCCCACCCACTTTTGTGCCATCGATTTGTATTGACAATCCCAATTCGAACTGATTTCACTGCCGAGGGAATTTAATGAGTGGTCTGACAGGCGCAGAGATCAATAGTTTAACGGAGAGCGCACAATGACATCTCGCCGCGTTGCCAGCGACAAGGAACTCAAGCCAAGTGTACGCGCCCGCTTGTTGTTGTTATTTATTGTGCCTGCGCCTGAACAATGCTGGCACACACCATGGCAAACACGCCGTTTTCGTAAGCGCAACAACAAGAGCAGAATTTTAATTCTGCTCGAGCAATGCGGTGCGCTTATGGCACACGCGTGCTGATAAATTTCGGTCCCCTCTCTCAGTTTCTTGTACTTTTCCGACACGGTGTTTTTTTCAGCGTGAGAACATCCCCAACCCAATTTTGGCTTCCTGGTGCCACCCGTGGGAATGATAAAATAAGAGTTGGCTGCCAGTGCACCCAATTTTAGTTTCTCCCCGCAAGCATGTGTTCTACACTGCTACCACAGCGGCCTGCGATGTTGCAATGGTCACTCATGCGGCACTCTCCTCTCTACGCGTTTCTCGAAAAGGTCTGGAGTTCTGTGGACAATTATAGGGCGAAATCCAGACCTTATATTTAGAACGTTGCAATGTATTACATTTTGACATTAAATAAAACAATATATTTGTACCGCTGGGTAAAACCTCGCGTAATGTATTTGCAGAACACAGTGAGATGTTTGCACCTCTCAGTACTACTTAATGATACGTGCACACACTCTGACACAAAGATCCCCCGTATGGCATTTAACAGACCGTTGGTGCAAGTGCTGTTAGCGAGCACCTAGGACGGGTGGCAATGGCACATGTGGTGGTTGGGATGCCAGCACCACACTCGGTCGCTTATCTCCCCAGTGCTGATGTTTATAAACAGCACCAGGAAATTAATTTAATGCCGAGTCTACCTAGCGGAGGCCCAGGACCGGTTCAAATATTCGCCACTATACTTGGTCAAAAGCAGGAATCCATTTGGTTCACCGGGTTCGTAGCACAGTATGCTAGACACTACACTACCGCTCCCCACTCTCACACACAAAGATCCCCCCCTATAACCTAAACATACTTTTGAGGCAAGTGTTGTTTGGGCACCTATGAAGGCCTGCACGGTACACAAGGGAATGGGTGGCCAGCACCATGCCCAACTACTTTTGTCTACTCAGTGGCAATCTTTAAACGCTGCACCACGTACTCAATTGAGGCTGAGTCGATCTAGGGGAGGCCCAGGACCGGTTCAGATAATCATGGTGTCGGGTTCGCCGGATTTGTAGAACGGCGTGCTAATTCGCTACATCACCACTCCCCCACTTTCACACACACACACACATATAAAGACAAAGATCCCCGTGAAGGCTAAACAGACTGTTGGGGCAAGTGCTGTTAGCGAGCACCTATGAAGACCACACAAACACACATTTTACAATGCGGAGCCTCCCTATGGGCAACTCGATTCCTCGCACTGCATTTGAAAGCACATGCATACAAATGGAAACATTTCAGAAAACACCCTGGAGTGTTTCATTATGTCTCTGGTACCTTTGCCCCAATGTTTTTTTTTCTTAAAGAATGGCCCACTGCTACGGCCAGGAACTCACTCCTGTTCTGCAGCGTGCTACATGTACAATCCCAACATGGCGACAGCAACAATCTATAGCCTTTAACCCATTCTTAAAAAACAATCTTATTTGGCTTTCAAGAGCGAGGAATTCAATCAAAGTAAAGTGCTGCTCCCTTGAGCCCTTTAACTCTCACTTTTCAAACTGTATCTACTACAGAGCACATCTTCACTTGACTTCAGCAAATGTTTGTTGTATTTTTTATTGCCCACGATGATAGTCAGAAGGGTTCCTTTTGAACAAATTGGCAATGGGGAGAGACATTCAGCCTTTTCAAAGCTCATCAATATTCTTGGAGTTTGCTGTACATTGCATGCCTGTTTTATTAATGAAACATTTACATCATGTGCAAGCCC